GGTTGTTGGGAGGGAGCAATTAGCAGGCAATAATTGTAAATATAGGCGGTGCAGCATTATAGGTAGAAGAGGGTTCCTGTGGTGGTCAAGGTTGGTGAGAGGTAGCATTCACTTTTTGAATTGTGTGGTTTTGGTGCCTAGTGGTGGTTTTATTTTATTCATTGAACCAGGTGCACTCAGTTCCAGTGGGCAACCACAGTAGGTTGCAAGGGTAGGGTGGGTAGGAGAGTGCCAAGCAATGAAATGGAACAAACGCTCCTCCCGGTCGAAGTAGACCGGGTGCGGCCTCGTTAGGCTTGTGTAGTCGGGTAGGAGCTCAGGTAGTTGTAGTTCTAGGAATAGTAGTAGTAGTAGTGATAGACACCAGTAGGTATAGAAGGGAGTTTTGGGAAAAAGGAGAAAATAAAAGAAGCAGAGTGCTTTAGAATAGTCTATGCAGTAGAGAACTGTTAACTCAGGATTATGTTGATTAAGCTAAACCGGCTGACGCTGCCGGGATAACTCCGGGTTGAATTGTGAGGACCCCGGCCTCAATTCTTTTTATCAAATATGAATTACTGCTTTAAGGGGAAAAAAAAAAAATAAAAAAAAATCGACATGGAAATGCTATCCAACGGCGGGCACGTTGATATATTCATCCGCATCGACGCCCGCCGTGTACCCGGCCCCGTGGGTGCGCTCTCTTGTTTAGTGGCGCGCTGTGAACAATTCGGTATGCGCTCCTTTGCACGCCCACCCGCTCTTGATCGCCTTCATCCGCCGGCCCGCATCAAAACTTCAACCCGATTCCGGCGTGCAGTGGAACACAGGCCTCCCCCTGCCGCCAATGCTGTTAGGATAAAGGGTTAGGATATATATATCGTCAAACAGCGCATATATATTCTGATGATTCGCTGGAACTCCAGCCCCTCGTTTGTTGTACTCTTCTCCCTCTCTGCCTACGCTTTACTGGGCAGCTCTGCTTGACTATAGATATCTATAGAGTGTATATACATATATGGAGAGAAAACAAGTCCCGACGGAGGAAAGGCCGGTAATCGCGGTGGCTGTGTGAACGCGCTGTCGTACGGCTGTGTTTAAACAGCCGTCGCCATGGCGGATGTGTCTCGCCTTCTCTCCCTCTCTCCCTCTTTCTCTCTCCCTCACAGCCGTGTTGTGAATTGAGAGGCGCATGTAGGGAGGGAGGAGTCTCTCTCTCTGACTCTCTCTGACTCTCTCTGACTCTCTCTCTCTCTCCCTTTCACAGCGGTGATGTGCATTGAGAGGCGCGTGGAGGGTGGGGGGAAGACTCTTTCTCTCTCTCTCTTAGCGGTGTTGTGTGGGAAGTGGTGGAGAGGTCGGTTAGGTCCGTTTACACGGCCCCGAAACGAAAAAGGCAAGTTCGCCCGTCGTGGCGAAGGGCACCCTCTCTCTCTCCTGTCTCTCCCCCCTTTCCTCCCTACATCCTTTCCCCCGCCCACCCTCCCTCGGTACATCCTCCCCCCCCACTCCTCCCTCCCTCTCTCCCTCCCTTCCTCCCTCTCTCTACATCTTTCCTTCCCTCCTTCCGTCCGTTCAGTCGTTTAGGGTTGCAGCTCCATTTTTGTGGGGGTGCCAGGTTGCAAGCGGACAGGATTTCTGCGCCGTCACTATTGGAAAGCGTACCCTCGGATGATGCAGTGAATGTGAAGAGGTAGTGGGAGAAGGAACACTAGGGGGAGGTCAGGTGGCTGGTTAGGCAGGGAAGAGAAGGTCACCATGGAAATCTTAGGGGCTGGAGTAGCAGAAGAAGGACGAAGGGGGGCGGTGAGGATGTGGGAGCAGGAGCATGAGAGGGTCATGGGATAAGCGGCGACGGAGGAGGCAGAAAGAGAGTCGGCGAGATAGGGTAGAGGGGGAGGACATCGAGGACAGTCCTAAACTAGACGGGAGGAGGATGTAAGTTGGGAACCGAGTTTGTGAAGAAGGGGATGAGCTGCGCAGATTGGGAGGAGGCCGATCTGTATGTGGGATCGAGAGGAGGAGAAGGCCGGAAAGCCATCGGGTTTAGGATGTATGAGCCGATGAAGTGCAGGGGAAAGAACGCCAGGGTGGATTGGTGGGTAAACAAAAGACAAAAGCGAGGGCGTAGAGGGGGGGGGGAGAGAGAGAGAGAGAG